GTGAAGAGCTAAAATGAAGGATTTTGGATAGAGCTCACCGTTCTAAATATACGGTGCATCCCGGCAATAATAAGATGTATCAGGATTTGAAGAAATTATATTGTTGGGATAATATGAAGAGGGAGATTGCTCAATATGTTGAAACCTGTTTGACATGCCAACAAGTTAAAGCGAAACATCGAAACCCTTTGGACTGTTGCAACCTTTGGAGATACCTGAATGGAAATGAGAACATATTACTATAAATTTTGTGTCAGGATTACCCCGTATCTAGAAAGGTCATGATGCAGTCTGGGTAATAGTGGTAGAATGACTAAGTCAGCTCATTTCTTGCCAATAAATATGAAATATTCCTTGGAGAAATTGGTCAAATTGTATATAGCTGAGGTTGTAAGACTTCATGGGATTCCAGTAAGTACAGTGTCAGATAGAGATCTTAGATTTGTATCCCGACCTACTTAAGAATAATGGTAAGAATTTCGAGGACGAAATTCTTGTAAGGGGGAAAGAGTGTGAAGGCCCGAAAGTTTTCATGTCTTATTTATGATTTAGTGTATGTCGCATTTTTCCATTTTATTATTGATTCATTCACATATTTGTTACTCCTCAATAAACAAACCTTAGGAGAAATTGTATCATCTATACCAAAATCATTAATACCAGTCGGATTTTGTTGAAAAAAAAAAACAACAATAGCAATGTGGAGGACACTTGTCCTCACCAGTAGCCCAATGAGCATGCAAATGCATTACTCATCTTATATTGCAGTTGGTCAAAGAGGTAAATAGGTAGAAGTTGGCTTAGTTTTCCCCTTTCTTAGCTTAGTTACCCGAGAGACCATCAAGAGGAAAAGGAGAGAAAAACCAAAGCAACTAGGAAACCAGTTCTTACCTTTCTTCCACCGTGAGAACCAGCTAGGAATCAAGAAAGAATTCAGCCTATCTAGCTAAGAATCGTGGAGAGAGAGATCGAAAACTTTTCCTAGCTTAAAGCCATTAAGAACCAGAGTTAATCTACTGAATTTCTTTCCATTTTCTTTTGTTTTTAGTTAGCAGTCTCTTAGGCTGAGTTAGAACCAAGAAAAGAAGAAAATTTCTGGGAAACAAAGTTCAACAAATCTGGAAAATTTCATTTAAAGCTGCTACAGGATACCTGATGAACTAAGCTGTAAATTCCTAGTTGTTTTCTTCAAAAACCTGCTAAAATTATGTTTGCATGTCTTATATATACTCTCTAGCTTACACATCTTGACATGCATGTAGCTTATAACTTAAAATGGAGCCTAATAAGAATAGATTGTAAAGAAACTCTTGCTAGAATTCTTGATAGGATGAAGTGTGATTGCCGATGTGTTAAAGCTGGAAAATTTCAGACTCTTGCTAAGAGTTTTTGTTGATCCTGGTTAGGATTTATTTTAAGCAACACCAGTGGCTATAATCTAGTCATGCATGTGATATTTGAAGTGTTAAAAGGAAGAAAATATGAACTTTTACTGCAACACCAAAACTGGAATTCCAAAACAGCAAATCTAGAGGAAAAAAAATGCTACAACTTTGGTCATGTTCTTTGAAAACTTTGGTAGATTGTAACTGGAATTCATGTTTTAGGCCCTGTATACTGTTTATAGGCTGATGCATGTGAGTTTTATGGTGAAAATTTAAGTTTTATGGCTGAATTCTTGCTGGAATATCCAGCTTGGACAAGAGGAAAGAAAATTTGATTTAGTAACCCTTTATCCGAAATTCCAACAGATTAGCTAGGAAATTCTTGATATATGTTTAGTATAGCCTTTGTTTCATGTTGCATGCTTATTTTCCTTGTGAAAACTCACGTAATGGGGCTGTAATGACTAAACTACATGGCTAACTTTGCTGTTTTTAAGCCAAAGGAGTGGTTGTCTTTCTTTCCAGTTGATTTCTATTATGTTAACTGAAATTGTGCAAATATTGGTCAAGAATACTCTGTAATCCTCCGTTTTGTTCAGAATGTTACGTTTACCTTGACTAGAACAAGAAACATTGAGTTTGAGAAAAGAAAACCTGAGTTGGTCAGCTTGCTAGATCCTTTTGAGCCGATTGGAATGGTTGAGGATCCCAAGCTAATTTCTAAACTTCTCTGGAAATTTTACCAAACTTGGAATTGAGAACAACCTATTAGGTATAATGATAAAATGTAGGTTGGATTTTAAGAGGTTTGAACCAAGGAAATAGTGAACTTTGGACCAAAAACATGGAACATGAACAATCCTAACTTAGTACTTCGATTCTAGCTTTTAATTTTAAAATTCTAAGGTAGAAATGAACCAAACTGATCAAACTCCTCTAAGTTACCTTATAAAAGTCTTACCTATAAAACTCATCCAAAAATCTAGGGTAAAATCAAGGAAATTCATAGGATCCCTAAACTACCAAATCCTAGAAAACTTACTTTGCACCTCAATTCTAAATGATCCTCAGAACCTAAATCCCAACTTTTATTACCATATAACCGCCTTAAACATCTTGAATTAAATATACACACACACATATATAAATACCTTAGTCGAAATAATCATGTGACCGTAACTTCATCATTTGGGGAATTAATAAGTCTATAAATATCTCAGGAGCTGAGGGAGTTTCGGCGGAGGATCCAAGTACCGAGGTATGAACTCAAAATATTTTAGGTGAGTGTTTCCACATTGGTGTGTTTAAATTGCCTACATATTTCTGTATTTATGTGTTAATTATTTGTGTTTCTTAAGTGATGTTATGTGATAAATTATTTATTGTGGAAATATTACTAGTGATTCATTGTACAGTGTATTGTGAAGTTTTCAATTGTCCCTCGTCTTCTAAATCGAGAGTGTAGTTTATCACACCCAACTTAGTTTGAGCTTGAAGGTTGATAATTGACCAAGTGTTACTGTAAGTGTACATGACTGTAAGCTGTGTGTGTACTTTGTCACACCGACTGAATTGGGCCTTAAAATCCTCTGTTTAATGGACTATTTGAGCCAGCAAAGGGCTTCGTCAGATAGGATGGCAGTTTTGGGTAAGTGTTTCGGTATGCTTGAGTATTACTACAGAGTAACAGAATACTGATATGGCCATCTAAGTAAAGAAAGTGTTTATTGTTTAGAGGTTATAAGGGGAGGTACGGCAAAGTGTGTAGTGCTTTGAAATGGCTCTAATACGAGCATTGTATTCTTTTAACATTGATTACTCAGTGAAGTGTTTCCTCTTTGTTTAAGTTTGTTATTTGTTTAAGTGTTTAATTGATTGTTGCTTGTGTGGAACCTCACTAGGTTTCACTCAACTCATTAGTTTGTTTTCCTTACAAGAGTGAAGAACGGGTATGGAGATTAGCCAGAAATTTAAGCCTGAAACTTGAATTATACTTGGATAAATCCCTTTGTATATAATGTTATGGTTTTGCCAACTTTGCTATCTTTGAGGGTTGTACATATTAAATGTTATGGGTTAAGACAACTTTTCTTTTGTTTTGATATGTATCTGAGTGTGATGGACTGCTAATGACTTTAGTTAGTGAAATGTTATCTCTAAAATTAATGTGAGTAAATGAGTGAGTCCTACCAATTGGCTGGATGGTGTTGGCTTGTGGGTCCCCCTTAGACTGACTTTAGGGTCCAATTTGGCGATGACTCCTGAGTGTTTCTAATCTAATTGTGTGTGTGTGTTTCTTCTATCAATTGAAAAAAAAAATGAGTGAGTCCTGATGAGAGTCAGACAGGCGATTCGCTTAACCCTTTGGTTCGTCTTAAGATGTAGTGGGGTCGTCATAGTGGCTTTGCAAATACACTTTGCCACCAAATCTGCTTCGGAGACTATCCTTGCCGACGCCACTCGTTTGAGAAGACAAAGAAGAAGATGGGGGGATTTGGGGTTGTGCGAGAGGGAAATAGGCATAAGTTTAAGGCATAAGTTTTAAGCTGAAACTGAAGTTGGGATTGTCCGAGTGAGAATGCTAGTTGAAGTTGAGCTAGTTTTATAGCAAAACTATCAACAGGAGCTTAAGCTTAGGTTGTATTGCTACTTTGACTGGAAAATTGTTTTTGACTGAAGTCGACACCGTTGATCGCTTGCATTAACAGTCTAGAGCTACGGCATTTTAAAAAAAAAAACAAAAAACAAAATTCCTTTGCAGCAAATTTAATTTGTGGTGAAGGAAAAAAAAGGCCATCAACTCATGATCGTTAATCAACTCATGATCAATGGTCAAGAGCTATTGTCGCACATCAGATGTGCAGTTTCAAAAAAAAAAAAATCAAATTGCTACACATTAGATGTGTGGTTTTGCCAAAAAAAAAAAAATTAGATTGCTGTATATTGAATCTGCAGTGATTTTTCAGCCGTTGATCAAATGGATTAACGATCCACAAATTTCACCACAAATTTAATGTGTGGCCTTTAAAAAAAAGTCATTCGCCACAAATTTTGTGTGAGAATTAAAAATTTATTTTCTGCACCTTCAAATCACAACTGTTGATCAAATGTTGATCAACAGTCCATCTGCGGTTAAAATAAAATATTCAATCAAATATCTTAATTTAAAAAATTCTTAAGCTGTTGAAAAAAATTTCAAAATTAAATCGAATTTTTTGTGTGCTAATATTGGTAGCTGCGACGACCCTTATTTCAGACACAAATCCTACAAGACATTACATTTGGGATGTTTTTGTATATCAACATATTATGAGAAATTCACCTTAAATACTTCTAAACATGTTAAGGTTTGAATATATGTGCTGAACTAAGACAATCTTAATCTCAAGTATATATGTTAATAAAAGTGAGAAAATGTTAATTACACTATTTTTGCTAATTACACTTTCACTAATTACATTCTATTTTTTTATTAGTTGCATCCTCACTATCATTTTTATCCTATAATTTTTATTTATTAGATTATATGGTAAAATAAATTATAGGAGTGCCATTAATAAAAAGTGAAGCGCAAATAACTTTTTTCCTAAAACTAAGAGCACTTTAGTATTGTGTACTAGCTATATCGCAATGCCTCGTAATGCGTGAAGAAGAGAAGAAGAAGTCGATGAAGAAAATATGAAGAGAAGGCGATGGAGAAAGCCATCTAAAGATGTACCGGAGAAAGAAGAAGAGGAGAAAGGTGGGAGTGGTGGTGAATTTATGGGGGAAGCGGAAAAGGATCAGGGAGAAACTGAAGAGCAAAACAGAGGTAAAAGGCGGCGTAAAACCCAGCGAGGAAGAGGAGGAGGAGGAGAAGGAGATAGAGGAGGCGGCCCAAAACCGAACAGAATGCTCAAGGATGATAATGTAAGATGTTTGCATCATCTGAAACTTTTTGGCTTTTTGTGATTCAATTCGTTATGAGGAAAGTTTTTAATTTGAATTTGGATGTGGCAGGGTATTTTAATTGAGTCCAATATGTGTCATCAGTGCCAGAGAAATGACAGAGGAGAGGTTATTCGCTGTACCATGTGTAAGACGAAGCGATATTGTCTCCCCTGCATACATTCTTGGTACGAAATAGTAGTTCAAGACAAACCATTTCAAAGTTCTTATGTTTTTCCATTTTGATGTAGTATTATTTAAGATATTTTTAGCTGCTAGGATATGGCGCCTTTAGAAAGTTGATATTTTGTCTATTGTTCATGTAAATACCTATCTTGCTCTGAAGCAAAGTAGCTATGCTTCCTCTGAGTACTTGTCTAGCTTGTTGAAATTGGTATTTAGCAAATTTGGCTGGAATTGGGAATTTTGTGTGGCTGGACTGTCATGTGTAAGCTTAAATAATTGTGTTCTAGTGGGTGGAAAAGTAGTGCTCTACCTATCATGGGTGCTGGGCAAACCTTTTTTTTCCCTTTTCTTTTTTGGTTATAACTCGGTGGTCATTATCTTTTTTGGGCTCGTATGCAGGTATCCTGGTGTTCTGAAAGAGGCTTTTGCAGAGTCATGTCCAGTTTGTCGCAAGAATTGCAACTGCAAAGCATGCTTACGCATGGAGATGCCAATAAAAGTCATTTTTCTTTATACATGTATTTTTTGAGCTGTTGTTCCTTTTTGGTATTTGATCATATACTCTGAACTGCAATTGTTTTATGTAGCACAAGGAGAAATTAGAATTGGAATTCAGTGCTGTAGAAAAGATGGAGTACTCAAAATACATCCTACAGCTGCTTCTCCCTTTCCTGAAACAGGTCAATGAAGAACAGATGATGGAGAAGAGGATAGAGGCAAAGCTTAAAGGTGTTCTCATTTTGTTTGCAGAAGCTCTGAGATTCTGTTCTCCATGTACTTTTTATCCTACCTCTTTGTTGAACTCTTATTAGTTCCATTGCTTAGGAGGAGACATATTTGTCATGAGAGTAGACATGGCATGAAACACAATGCCAAATCATAATGTTCCAGCATACATAGAAGATGCAAATCAAAGCTGCAGGGATCTATTAAACGAAGTCCTAAAAATGTTACTAGTTGACAACATATGCTTGGTTAATAAACACAAGTGAATCAGCTGTCGACTGAAAGTTGGTATATAGGGTTTGATGTTTTTCGGGAACCATGACGTAACTGGTAGTGTCCTCTCTAGAAAAATTTGATGGACATGTTAAGGAGATGCTACCCTTAAAGGTGCCTTTTCTTTGTTATAATTTTTTCATTTTTGAAATATCTTTTTAGGATTGACATGCAAGTAAGATATTTGTTTAATATGTATGCAGTTTAATTAATTCTAATTTCTTTGTACTAACTTTTGGTCTGATGCACCCAGAAGATTGGTGGCATAATAGTGTCTGAGGACCTCCTTACAGATGTTTATTTCGCTAATGTTTAAAGTACTTACTGTACTTATTTTTGTTTTGCAGACTTGCCAGTTTTAGAGATCAAGGTAGAGCGAGCAAACTGCCAGATGAATGAGAGAATTTATTGGTAGGTTTTTAAACACAATCTTTTCAGATTACTCATGTTTAATCCATATGGTTAAGAAAATGAAGTTTCGTTATGTCTTGTGCAGCGACAACTGCAAAACTTCTATTGTTGATTTTCACAGAAGCTGCCCCAATTGTGCTTTTGAGCTTTGTCTGCGTTGTTGTCAAGAGCTTAGGGATGGCTGTCTGCAAGGGAGTGATGAGGGAAATACTGTGGAATTTATTGATCCGGGGCCAGATTACTTGCATGGTGTCGAGACATGTCCTGTGATGGGTTCAACTAAGAGCGGAATGTGTGCTAGACAGTCTCGAACTAAAATTGATACCGGGATGATTTGCAATGCAGAAATTGAGAATGCTTCTGTGGATGATTTGGCCTTAGTTAGCCAATGGAAATCCAATAAAGATGGTAGCATTCCCTGCCCTCCCTCTGAACTTGGTGGTTGTAGTCAGGGATTTTTGGAACTGAAGTGCTTGATTTCAGAGAATGAGGTTCCTGAGTTGCTTGTGAGAGCAGAGAAAATGAAAAAAGAATTGAAACTTGAAGATGTTCCTGCAATTTCTAAGAAGTGGTGTTCTTGTTTACAATTTGCAGATGGACCCAATGTTAGCTGTGGTAACTTGCGTAAAGCAGCTTCTCGTCAAGATTCTCGGGACAACTTTTTGTACTGTCCAAAAGCTGTGGAACTCCAGCCTGAGGATCAGAAGCATTTCCAATGGCATTGGATGAACGGTGAACCTGTAATTGTCAGGAATGTTCTTGATACAACATTGGGTTTGAGCTGGGAACCAATGGTGATGTGGCGTGCTTTTCGCCAGATTAAAAATGTTAACCATCCAGTGCTGTTGGATGTGAATGCTATAAGTTGCTTAGATTGGTGTGAGGTTAGCTTATCTACCCTTTTCGCAGAACAAACATATGCGTTTTTTGTTTTTGGCTTATTTGATTCAGAAACTTATGTTTGTATCCATTTTAGCAGATAATAGCCCAATTAAATTTCAGCATAAATGGATGTTGCCTTGTCCAATTGCAGCATAAATTGAATCATTTGAAACAGCTTTCCTTTTGCAAGTTATTTCTTGCTTCTAGTCGTTTAAGTATAGGAATTTTTTTTATGACAATGTTGTTCATTTTTCTGAAGCGAAATAACCTTTGTCCGATAGCTACTTTCATCTTTCCTATAAATCAGTAGTTTATGAAAGTATTAAGCTGTTACTTCGGTCTGAGAAAAATCGGGTTCAGTGGCTATAAGTTGAATATTGAGGGTTCTTATGCAAGCAGTGGGGGATTCGTAGTTTAATGTGATGAAATATGGGTTGTACTAGATTGCTGCTGCTCAATGAGCTTCTATGTAAGAGGAGAAACTAAAGGTTAATGCCAAGGTCCTGTGGCAGGGCATGTTTTAAATTTCTTGTCACGCATTATTGTGCAGCAAATGATTTTATTATTATGTTTTCACTGTGGTGTGTTGCTGGTACTTGTGGATATAGATGCGGTTTGAAACCTTGTATTAGGACCTTCATATCTTTCAATTTAGATCTTAACTATGCATTTGTTTTGGATGTAAATGGGGGAAGTTCTTTAAATTGTTTATCTGGTCAACTTAGTTACTTTTCCCCATAAAACCATTGTCTAGTAAGCTGTTTCTTTTTAACTGATAAGCTGTTTCTTTTTAACTGAGTTTAATTCAGTTCTGGAAGATTAATTCTATTTTACTTTGGGTGATCTTTTAGTATGCCTTTGAACACTCTTCCTATGCTTTGAAATCTTTTGGTCGTTAATTTGTGTTATATGTTGTGTGTATCGATGGTGCAGTAGTACATTGTAACCTCAGATCTCACGTCAGAATAAATGAATGCTAAGCCAGACACCTTCTGTCTGAAATGCTACTTTTGTCTCCAACTTCAGGTGTAATGCTCATAGAACCCATCACAATTGAAAGTTCTCATTCTTTAAACGGTAGATTTTGTTGATATTATCTAAATATGCTTTAGTAAGACCCTTGAATGAATCTTGAGATCCAGAGTCTGTTCAAAGGAGTAAATATTGCAGTTGTATAATATTTTGATTTGGATTGTTAATTAAATTTTCTGTACTTCTATTGCATACTTTGCAGGTTGATATTAGTGTACACCAGTTCTTTCGAGGTTACTCCATGGCTACCTTTGACAGTTATGGATGGCCACGGATTTTAAAGTCGAAAGATTGGCCTCCATCTAGTTTATTTGAGGAGCAGTTACCTCGTCATAATGCTGAGTTTATTAATTGCTTGCCTTTTAAGGTTTATACTCATCCACATGGTGGGTATTTAAATCTTGCTGGCAAACTTCCGAAAAATTTTTTGAAGCCAGACATGGGGCCAAAAACATATATTGCGTATGGATTTGCTGAAGAACTTGGGCGTGGAGACTCTGTTACCAAGCTTCACAGTCATATGTCTGATGTGGTATGGTATACAATGTTGTATTGGTGGCAATTATTCTCTCTTCTTGGTCTCTAGCTATCTGTAGGCTGTGGAATGCGGACTTAGTGTTGTATAAACTTCCAACTTAAGGCTTGTAGTATCCCCATCAGTCCCATTAGTGTTGAAGAAACACTTGATATATGGCTCAACATGGATTTTCTGGGGATTAACTTTGAGACATCACATTTTCCCAAAAAGTGTTCAAGAAATGCCGTGTTTAGGATAATTGTTAATATTGAAAGTTTAGTTTGAGGAATAATGGTGATTAATAAGAGATCTGTAAAAGTTGACACATGGTTTACTTCCAATTTTGTCATTTTACTTGGTAAATAATAGTCAAGGTGGATGGTCAAAAGGCATAAAGTTACTGTGTCACATCCTCTTGAGTGGCAAGGGCTCAGCACTTTTGAATCAGGAAAAGTCACATAATTGTATTGTATTACCGCAGTCAAGAGTTAGGAGTTGTCGAAATTTGGTTGTTTTAGGGTTAAATTGGAGCTAGAATAATGCATTTCTAGTACTAGAGTTATTTGACCCTGAAAAGTTTCTGGTCATTGTTAGCCAGGCTACTAGATTGTGGTGAAAATTTATAAAATATGTGCTTTTAAAAATATCATGATGTTGTTACTTATGAGAACTAATTACTTGTACATTTTACATGCATTTATTGCATTTCACAATGTAAATACCTGATCTCTCAAAGTTAATGGTAGAGTTTGACATTTAGAGGAATTGTCATACTACAGACCATCTGCATCTTTGTTATTTTAGTCTCTTCTTAATTTCCTTTATGGTTTTCTTTTATTCTTTAAGAATGTTAATTGCTAATTTCAGGTGAATTTGCTGACTCATACTAAAGCAGTTGACCTACAACCTAAAGAGCTTTTGAAAATTGAAAAATTGAAACAGAAACATGCTGCACAGGAGGAAAGAGAGCTATGCAGAGATGGAAAGACATCTACCATGCGAGATGAGGCTGAGAAGGGAGGGATGGAGAATGGAGACAACACAGATAATGGAGAAGTTAATCATAAGACTAGGCCTATTAATACTAGTGCCAGTGGCAACGATGTGAAGGAAGGTGATATAAGGATGAGAGGAAGAAGCAAAGGAAAGAATAATAAAGCTGAAAATGTTGAGAGAAATAATCTGATTGATGCTGCAAATGTTGATCAGGAAAATCAAAATTCTCCAATCTCACTGGAAGTTCAGAGAAGTCGTGATATTGAGCTTGAATTTGTGGATGTGCAAAGTACAGTTGAATCTGATGAAACAAGTAGAGGGGGAAAATTGGATGAGTGGAAAAGGGAAGAAATTGTTGAAGTGTTAAGAAACAATGTAGCAGATGTGGACAGTGGTGCTTTGTGGGACATATTCAGGAGGCAAGATGTGCCTAAATTAGAACAATATCTGATGAAACACTTTAAGGAATTCAGGCATGTCTGTTGTCGTCCACTAGAACAGGTGGTTACCAATTTGCAAAATGTATCTTCTTTAAACTTATCTTGTGGTTTGCAGTTTCATGTCAACTGGGCATAGAATAATGCTTTTACATGTTGACCATACATGCTATTTTTTCTCCTAGTTCGTCTTCTACTTATGGAACTAGCCTCAGTATCTAGAAAAGGAAGACAAACATCTGTACTTGTCCTCTCCTCCGATTTAGATATTTGATGCAATTGGCGTCTTTGTAAAATTTTATACCTTGAAAACATTTGCAGTCTTTTTACTAGAATAGATGTATATATACCTCATGCCAAAAAGTTATCTTTTGGTTTGATCAGCTAAATTTTTTGCTTTTTTCTTTAATAGTTTGAACCTTTTGCTGAATGCTTGATATATTTTCAAGTTAGTTTATGGTCGTTTAGGGATATTCCTGCCTTTTATGTTTTTGAGATTTCCATTATAATGGTCATTACACTGAATTATAGGTAGAGTATGAAATTTCAGCAGCAATTGTTTAGCCATGCTAGCAGTTACAGCATTCCATCGAAGTAATTGAGTTTAAGCTGCTTAAGTAAATGAGATTACTGATTTAGATCTCCATATTTTATTCCAGGTGGTTCACCCAATACATGATCAAACTATATACTTAACCATGGAACATAAGAGGAAGCTCAAAGAGGAATACGGTTAGCTTTTCATTGTAGTTATTGTGACATCTGGTTAGTTTTGCTGCACATTATTAATCATGGTTCTATATGGTTGTATAGGTATTGAACCATGGACTTTCATTCAAAAACTAGGTGATGCTGTTTATGTACCTGCTGGCTGTCCGCATCAAGTCAGAAATTTGAAGGTGAATTATCTTGTTAAGCTTTTTCCTTTTTCCTTTACTGAAAGCATTTACTTTTATGCATATTCATTTTTCAAAAAATGGCTAAGTTATGAGCAGAAGACATCCTTAATCACACTATAGTTAGCCAAGAAACAATTTACTTTTCTTGTTCATTGATCATGATTCAAATTCAAACAGCTTGTATCAGCTTTTATAACTACACAACATAGAGTTGCTAATTGTAATATTCAAAATCATTTTGGTATAGTTGGTAAATGTGTATAGTAATTAGATGCTCTTGAAATTTCTTCAAGACATGGGTTTTGGATGTAGTAAATTCCAATCAAGTGCATAGATGAGTTATAGGTTACAAAGGAAGGAGATTGTATCCTTTTTGTATCTAGAAATGTGTATTTGGTGATCAAGCAATGATGTTGAAGTTTGTAATGGCTGGATTTGATTTGACTGAATGATTGGTTTGGTATTGGGATGCAAGTTTTTGAGGATAAACCATACGACTTGAGCATGTCTATGCTGTGTTCACAACTTGTAGATGCTTACAATGGTGTCCCCCCCCCACCACCACAAAAAAAAGCCGCCACTTCTGATCTTTTGGGCTATTATTTGTTGTTCATCGCAACAAAAGCATGTACTTTAGATGGTGTACTATGGTCCTCTCATGGTATAGATGCTTCATGACATTATATAAAGTGTTTAGTAGCCAGGCATGATGGTGATTCTTTTTTGTCTGTGATGGACTCTTGATGTACTTCAACTAGGCTAGATCCTTTTTGCTTAATTTATGGTGCTTACATTGGTTTAAGAGGTAAGTTATGGACCCAAGGACCTTTGCTAGCCAAAATCTCATCTGCAGATCACAGTTTCTGGAAAGGTGTAGTCATGAGAGAGGGATCAGTTGAATTAAATGTCTGCCATTTCCATATTTAATTGATCTGCTAATGTGGCTTATAGTTCACAGCCTGTAGCCAGCTTTAGGCTTTAGCATGTAGTTGCCGAATTTGTCCCCTGACGTTTATAATACACAAAACGCAGGGCGGGCTTTCTCTTTTGATGTTATTATCTTCCAACGTGTATGATTTTCTTCTGGTTTATTTATTATTCAAGCCATGCAACTTGAGATTCCAGCAGTGATGTTGGATAACCTTTGTGCTAATGGAAAAAAAAAAGTTTTTTTAAATGATAACTTTGAGATTCCTGCAGTGAGGTTGAATATAAGATGCCAATTTTGTGGAAAATGGAAGATTAGAAACCAAGATGATAACTTTGATCTAACTTGGTTGTTTGGGAGGCATCTGACAATTGCAATCTTTAGATCAATCTGTTTCCAATAATTCATTTGTTTCGCCTTGCTTAAAAGTTAGTTATCCGGAATTTGTTTGTAGTTATTGAAATCATTTGTTACTTTTTGTACGATGCTCTCAGGACTGTGCTAATTTAGTGCTCCTTTTTGTCATGAAAACATTACCCTTGGATAGTCTCTCCTTTAGCTTTTCTCCCAAGACTTCTCATGTGATAATGGCAGTCTTAACAGTGCATCTTTTATTCTAGCATTTGCTAGATGTGGAGACTGGGAGAAGGAAAGATATGCCTCTTTGTCAGTATTCTGTCCATTTGATCAAATGAATCTGCATTGTGCATATTTTCCCTTCTGAGTGACAGGTTTATATGTTGCTGTTAGTGATCCTGCTAGAGGAATTTCTTATTTTCCTTTCTGCTTGTTCAGTTGAATATGAACCCATCAAGAAGTTCATGGCTTTTTTGAATAGGAGATTCAAATCAAATATCCCAAATAAGTGGGACTTTTTTGAAGAAGAACCTTTGAAGTCATGCTTTTCTACAGCCTTTCTGTCCTCGTAAGGTGGAGCTAAGAAGTCATTTTAGTTGGGACAGGATATGACCTTTATTGTAATCTTGAATTGTGTTTGACAAAAGGTCTAATTTTGTTGATTTGAAATATAATGTTTAGTTTGAAGATGTAGATTGTGTCTATTCAGCTGTGTTAAAACTCTCCCAGAGCATCCAGTGTGGTTCAAATAAATGTATTCTGGGCTTGATGCTTATGTCCAGCTTTGAGTTTCTTTTTGAAAATCGATACTCACACTATCCTATATTTCAATGGCACTCCTTTGACTTTTGAATAAAAGGTGGGACGATGTTCTTTCCTAGCAAAAATGGGAATGCCAATATCAGCTCCGATTTATAGTCTCATCTCGAGAAGTTTTGTAGAACACAAATGTGTGGAAGGGCTGAATCAAAAGTGAAGAGTTTACTTCTCATCAAGAACAAAATGATGTCTGTTGAAATTGTTTTTGAGTTTAACAAGATTTCATGCATCAAATAGAAAATTACAAAGTGATATTACTGCATGAGTTTGGCACAACATTATTATGATTATAATTGGATTGTGATGCTCCATCATACATTGACTTCGAAAAGGAAGCAAGGATGCATGTGAGGTATCACTTAGTGTTGCAAAGTAGTAGCAAACCCTATTGTTTGGATTTAGTAGTTGGAGCTCTTTGAAAAAGGCAAGAGTTGCAATTACTAGGGATAGCAATGGGGTTGTGCCTGTCCTGCGGGGGGAGTAACGGGGTGGGGGTGGGGAAGTGCAGGGGCTGGGGGGATTTTTCTCCCCCCTCTTTAAATGGGGCAGGAGACAAGGGAGGATACCCCCACCTCATCCCTCGCCCTGTCTCCCGCCAATAAAATAAATTTGAAAAAGTAAATACACACACTCTATAATTACATGTAAATAATATATGCATATATATTATAATTTGAAAAATAATAATATCATAATTTGTGTGATAACATGATGATTTGGTTATTTTTAGTTTACTTGAATTTTTTCACTATTGTAGCTTTTTTTATCCTATATATATATATATATATATATATAGTGCTTATAAGTTGAGGTTTGCTATTATATGTGGAACTAAATAAAAGATCAAAATGACTTCTAAGCTTGATTTCAAATTAAATATTTAGTTGAAAATCTAAAAGACCGATTTATAAAGCCATTATTGATATTGAGTATGTAGAGAAACAATGTCAAAATAAAAGATAAAAATTGTAGTTAGCCAACTGTAGGTCACCCGTGGGGATTAGGGAAGCAAGGGATGGGGCGGGGGTGGGGGGTGGGGAGTGGTGCAACAAGGGAGGGTTCCCCCACCCCATTACCATCCCTAGCAATTAAAAGTGAACCATTCTCAAACTTAGAAAGAAGCACAAGTAGCCTAGTAAAACCCTAGATAGCGCACAATTGAAAGATATATTAGAAGAGTTTAATGGAGGAAATCATAAAGTAAACCCTGTGCTTACGAGATCCATTATTGGGACAAAGATCATACAGCCTAGCAAAGTTTTCTGCAAACCTTCTTGAGTTGAAATTAGACTTGCCATCTTCTGTGGGTAACTAAGCAAGTGTACCACAGTATGACAAAGACAAAAATATGTAGAATATCACTCACAATGCAATAAATACATGGAATATGTAGAACATTAGTTTATCCCAATGATTTTAAAGAAGTCCAAAAGGCCTAATGCGTATTTAAATACTAGTAAAATGATTCTAAAATGGCAAGTTTTTAAGCTAAGAATTAAAAATCCTTCTTGATATCATTGTGTACCATGTTAAGATTGTTCATACTTGTTAGAAACTTTCAAATTTAATTATGTCAAACCTTATTGAAATTAGGAGGTGAGGTTGTCCTTTCTAGCTCTGTTGTAAATGACTTAATAAATAGGTCAGGGTTCATGTTTAACCCCTTCCACTTTTAGGTGAATGGGAAGCCTTTGTTTGGGCATCCATCTAAGAGTGGGAACCCAATGGAACTCAAAAAAGTGGTTGTTTACTATTCTTTGTTTCTCAAGGTGTTATAGTAATAGGTCATAAGCTAAAGTGCTAGTTGGTCTTATGTTGACCCAGGAAAATGCTACTGTTTTGCAGCCCTAAAAAGTGGTTGTTTACTATTCTTTGTTTCTCAGGGTGTTGTGGTCATAGGTCAGAAGCTAAAGGGCTAGTTGGTCTTATGTCGATTTTGTATTGTACTAAACTTGTATTTCTTCCTTGTAGTTTTGACTTGTAAATAAAATTTCAGCTCCTTTTGGACTCTACATTTTTGGGAAGCTAATCTCCCAAAGAACTTGATGCAGCTAATTATGATGTGTGAAAATAATGAAGATAATATCACAAAGTTAGGGCCTGAAGTTAGATCAGTACATTTGTAAAGTTTTGTTGGTTTGCAATTGTAGGAAAAGTTTTCGAGTAAATTTTCCAAAATGCTTCTTTCCAGCCTTCTCTTTCTTTTCTTTCTTTTTTTTTATTTTTTTTATTTTTCAGATATGAACTAATGAATTTATAGTAATATTTGTTCATAAACTCTTCCGAAGAAGCCTACAACTCTCTAAATAGGGTTGGGATAGTGAGAAACAAGAAAGCCAACTATAGCTTTGTCTTTCACCCACCCCCTCCAACCCTAAACATCTTAATGGCAGCTTGAATGTTTAAATTTTTATACCACCCTCCTAACTAAACCCCAAGCAAAAGCGAGTGAGCTAGAACAAAACTAGACATAAAATAAATATACCAAAAATTCAGGTTAATATCTTGTATCCTTTTGTGGTGGTTTGTGGTGTCTGGTGGACAGCAGCAGTAGGTTTGGCTTGAAGGTCACATGGCATTAATTGGCAGTGTTTGAAATTGCAAACAGAGCCAATGTCAGAAGAATTCAGCAAGCAATGAACAAAGTAAAGAAAGAAAGTAAAGTAGAATATCTTGTGGCCACAACTTTTGTCAGTTTGAGACTCGCAATTCCTGTGCAGCCACTAATATTATTTTGTTTGACCTGTGATTTGTTCCCACCCTGTTAATCTGAAGTACAAACCAGAGATTTGCGTTTCACTCTGAAATCCTTTTTCTTTAAAATGATATCCTGAAATTTTAGTTTCAGTCCCGTCGTTATATTGAGACTCTCATGCTTCTGCTTTTGATACATCCCGAGTTATACAGGCTTTGATTCTATTCTACTTACAAATGTGCCCACCACATCTTTTGGGACCAAAAAGTTATTGTTCACTTACTAGCAAAATTTGGTTAATTCATTCTAGAAATGCATGCACCATGATGGATTTTGATCAAGGGATAGCATGCATGCATGCTTCGATTTTTAACAAGCAACAGTGCTGGCAGCCTAGTTCTTCTGGGGCAATAAGATACTCTCCAGCATAATTCTCAAGGGCTAAACTATGCAAAGGTTGTTCCCTCTATTTAGATGGTTTACTGACCAATGAGTTGTGAAAAGTATGAGAGGTTGATTTATCTAGACCATGACCTAAGCAGACTGGTTAAAATTGGAGGTTGACCATTGACGGAACCAAGTTGGCAATGTTAGTTAAGCAAAATTGGGACTGAACCAATTTGGCATGCTAGTTGAGTAAAACTTGAACTGAAAAATTATCAGGTCATGGTTCGTCCTATCCTATGTCAGTTCATGGGGTCAGCACATATAGTTCACTTTGTATATAATAGGTTGTTTTGCATATGCCGGAATTGTTTTTTTTTGCTTTGTGCATTGAAGGATCAGTTCCCTAATGCGATTGGTTAATTTTTTTCCCAGTCTTGCATAAAGGTTGCCCTTGACTTTGTCTCACCTGAAAATGTTGGTGAGGGTTTCCGTATGACTGAAGAATTCCGTGTACTTCCTCAGAACCATAGAGCAAAGGAAGACAAGTTGGAGGTATGAACCTGATAATTAGCCTATTCCTTTGTGAACTTTTGGTCTTTGCCTGTTGCTGTAATTGTTTTTGTTGGATTTTGATTTTTCATTTTTGATGTGTGACCTTTGCTTGCTTTTGAATGGGTTTTACTGAACTACACTTTTTGTGGTAGCATGACGGGCACTTAACCTAATAGTTTGCTGATATGCCTACCAAAAGGACTTTTTGAAATTGTTAGATAGCTATTACTAGTTCGATCCGCATTTTCAGTTTCGCTTGACATATCTTTTTCTTGCATTTGTTAAGACCAAATTCATTCTTTCTACTTGGAAAGCCAACAACTCCGCATTCATATCCAGAGTATTTAGCCCATGGCTCTGCTCATGTGTTTCAAGTTCATATGCTTAATCATTAGCTCGACTACTTGTGACTTAGGGTATTTCGTCCTAAACTGTGAGGGTATATATAATCAGAAACATTTGTCTTATATGAAGTGACGTATGTTGAAAAACAGTGTCTAACTGCCTGCGGGTTCCTTTCGGGACAGGTCAAGAAAATGACATACTACGCAATGAGGGAAGCCGTCCTTGATTTGGAGAATAGGTACTGTTTACATCATACTTTGTATTGTAATCTCCCGCATTCCAACATTATTATAGGTGGCATTGTCTTTTTTAGTTGGACTTTTTGTTTGGGTGTGTCTAGTTTCTGTGATCTCTGGGAGATTAGTTGACTGATAAATTGTTTTGTGGCTTTTCAGTTAATGGAAGCGGATCTCTGCATGATTCTGCATATTTCGAGCGAACGACAGCTTTGTTAGCTTGTGGAGGCATCGTTTTGAATCTATTGTATATTTGTGACGCTAAAGATTGATATTACTGATGCTAGTCATAGAAATCATATTTAGTAATGATGTTTTGTAACTAACCTTCTTTTGTCAAATTCCATCGGGTTTAATATATTGCTGTAACATTTTCAGAGCTGGTTTTTCTGGGTGCAAATTGCACGGCTTAAAATTATTGCAGTCGATATTCAGCATGTGCTTCATAAAGAGTAATTCTTTTTGTTTTGTTTTGTTTTTGTTTTTGTCTTACATTTACTATAAGGAAGCACTTCTAAATTGAGTGCAAAGCGTTTTTTCCCTGTTTTTTGTTTTCTTTTTATTACTCCTTCCAGGGCACTAAAGTAAATTCACAAAGCAAATCATATCAGCCTGGCTATTTCGTATGTTACCTTTCAGGATTTTCTTTGTTATGTTTAAATTGCTTGCAATGAGAAACGTTTCAAGCTCAAGATGGCACCTCTACACGAACGGAAAAACTATGGATAAAATTGGGGAAAAGGGGGGGGGGGGGGGGGGGGGAAGAAAAGATGGACAAACAACAAACAAATGTTGTAGAGGTTATTGTCCTAGGAACTAGCAGAAAGGTGCTATATATTCGTATATCAGAAGCAGAGAGAACTTCAATTCTAACTCAAGAGATCAAATACAATAAGCAATCTGATTTCCTACTCTTTTTTTTTATTGTTTTTTATATTTATGTGTTTGATGTTATGTGATTTTGCTGTTTTTTTTTTGTGCCCATGTAAGAGCCTATACATGATTAAATGGATAGGGATTGGGCACTTGAGAAATTCCTTTGTTTCACTTTTTGGCTTTGCACTTTGCTAAATTCTTTCCATCATTGATGTGAAAAGAAGATTACAAGTTTCTAATTGTATCTAAAGGGACGAATAATTAAAAGGGTAAAAAAAAAAAAAAAAAGACTCGGCTAGGGAAAAACAATTTGCACAATTATAATACATGAATCCAATTTTGTAAAGTAAATACTTGTATAAACTCGATCTATAGGACCACCCATAAACTAAGAGGTGCACAATTTGTCACAATAGACTCTCACTGTCTCATGCACAAAACCCTCCGAATTTCAATGGAGCATTTAGAATTTCACAGTGACAATACAAATTGGCTAGTTAATAAGGACAGACCAATTCCTAATTAAAGATCCGATCCTTCAAGGTCTTCCCTGTTGGACCACCATTATCAACGCCAATTCTTTAACTCCTTCCTTCCCCATCCCTATCACCACTACTCCCTTTCTAATACAAATCCTGTCGATGATTGACAAAACCCATATAAGATAAGCACTAGGATCTACGTCAAGGTATTGATAGTTTGGCAGCGGAAACCTTATCTTGATATGAACTTGTGTATCGAACCTTGATATAAAGATAGATAATGCCACAATTAAGTGCAGTTCTTGAATGATAAGTTCATAGAGACACACTCTAATAAATACATTTAAAGTTCACAAAGAACTCAAGGAAAAACTCTTGTTTATTGCTCAAAAAGATCTACCATTTTCTGACAATAAATGCAGCATGTATATAGCTAAGTACCCCTACTCTAGCCAAATTTGAATTAGACTTCGATTCATTTAAGAAGTTCTAAATTAAAAAGGAAAAGAAGATACAAAGATGTAGGCACACTTCATTTTAAAATCCGAAACTGGATATAAGATGCAGGAGAAAATTCCAAATTTATGATGAATTTCAAAAAATTTCTACAAAGAGGGCATTTTTAGTATGGAATTCTGTCCAAATGCAAAATCACTCTGAATATTTAGACCCACAAAGTCCAAAAAAAAAAAAAAAAAAAGAAAACCAGACCTCGCATTTGTGAAATGCGAGGTCAGGAGACCTCGCAAATACCATGACCTCGCAAATTTGGTATTTGCTCAAAACAGTGGAACTTTGAAAGGAACTTTTGTGGAAGTCATTTTGCTAAACGTGAGATGTAAAAAAAAAATTTTTTATGTTAGAGCTATCATGATATGAAAAATATTTGTTCCGTCCAAGAAGATAATTATTTTTTAAATATTTATTGTAACTGTGATCATTTTGCTCTTTTTGACCACTTCACATATTGTCATTTACTAAATGCGAGCTCCTAAAAAAGTTAAAATTAAATAATATTTGTTTTCTTCTATCAAGCTTCTACAAAATTAAATTTAAAAAAGATTTATTTTCTTAGAGTACTAAACGCAAGCTCCTAGAGAATTAAATTTCGCACAATATTTGTCTTGCATATCTCTCGTTTACTAAAAGCAATCTATAGTAAAATCTTATTTTTTAAAGAATAATTGTTTAGGCATTTATTAAGTGTGAGGAGTAAATATTTTGGATCTCGCATTTGATAAATGCGAATTCATAGAAAACTACATTAAAAAATTGCTAACTTTTTTATTTAGGAGCTCACAATCATTTTTGTTTTCGAATTGACATTTAATATAGAGGAATAAATCCTTTTTCTTTTTAATTATAGATTTGTGAAAAAATTCTATAATTTGAACATAAAAAGTTGTATGACAACACTACAAAATTTAATTATTCAAAATCAGAATATAGTCCTTGCAGATAAAATAATCTATCAAGACTAAGTCCAAAACCAAATTAGCCTCGATTGGAGTGCTAATCGCGACTTAGCAAGGAAAGTGAAGAAAATGCGACTTAGCAACGCAAGTGGAGAAAACGCAACTTAGCAAAATGTGACTTCACGTTGCGTTTTGTGAAGTCGTGTTTTCATTTCTGCAAGGAACCTGAAGAAAACATGACCTATCCGATTATGATATTAGATCATATTGAGGGGTTGTATGTGAAATTCAAGATCAATGGATAATGACCTAAAACTTCATTCTCCGTAATTTTATAAAATAAAAAGCAAAACCCACACTAAAGAGAAAAACAAAAACAATTTGCTTGAATTTATAAAAAAAAAAACAAAAATAATGAACTTGAATTTATTAATATTAAAAAACCAAAAGGTCTAAAGCAAAATTCATTCTCGCATATGTTTACCTGACCTCGCATTTGACAAATGCGAGGTCTGAAGCAAATTTTTATTTTTTTTAAGATTTTTGCAAAATCAGAAATTCAATGATAAATCACATTTGCCGAATTTAGATATTTGCAAAATCAGAAATTCAATAATAAATCGCATTTGCCGAATGCGAGCTCACTGAGCTCGCATTCGGCAAATGCAAACTACCTATTCTTAGAATCCCCAACACAAAAACCCCTCAATTAGAAATTTTTTTTTCATAATAGTTTTAGAATTTTCTCTAAGACGCAGGCATGTCTTTTTTTTTTAATTAAAATGAACTTCCCATTACTACGAAATCATGGTTACACTAGATGGGTACATTCACATACAGCCCAGAACCCGTGTGTGAAACGATGGAAACCCTAACTGATCCATTCAAATATCCCCCATGACCAATTGTGGCAAGTCCAAAAACCTGTTGAACACCTGTCCTGCGCTAGAGTCGGCGCCAAAATTTGCCAGACGATCAGCCGACGCATTTGCCTCCCTATAGCAGTGTGAAATCGTGTGAAAATACTGCTTGAACATCAGCAACTCATCCAGATCCCTTTGCAATTGCCATGGGCAAGCACTAATCCCTTGAACAATCTGAATCAGGGTGAGAGAGTCCGCCTCTAAATGTAACTCCAGGTACCCTCGATCCACACAGTGTCTAACGCCCAGCAGCAATGCTTGAAGTTCCGCCTGCATGCTGGTCATCATCCCAAAGTGCTCCGAATACCCGAAAAAAAAATTCCCTTGACTATCCCGCACAAGACCACCCCCACCACTCCATCCTGGGTTCCCCCGAGAGCATCCATCTGAATTGAACTTATAACCTCCCTGCGGAGCTATCCAACAGACTGACCTAACAACAATCCTCGTTTGGCGACAACCCAGCTCGCGAAGTGTTTGATCTATTTGAGAGATCTCGCTTGGCATACTCGCGTAGTATTGCCACGATATACTCGAGTAATATCAAAACTTTTGACGAGCAGGAACGGTATAGGGGGTGTAACGGTGAACGGGAATCTGGGAAAAGTGGAGTTCTACGGATTTGATACTTGCTCAGTTGACGGAGAGTCAACGTGGGATATTTGGATCAAGACCTTGACCAAGCTACGTGGATTTAGCTCCTGAGAGCTCCAGTATTTTATTTGTTTCTGCTTACTTTTTCTACTTGAAATGTTAATTACTTGAAACTGCTAGTTTTATTATTGTCTCAATCTTTCTCGTTCATGCTCTCTTCTACTTGCTCTATTACGTGCTTGTATGTTTTTCTTGGCCTCACTGAGCGTTAGCTCACTCCATTAGTTTGTTTTCTTTAATAAGAGCTCAAAATGGAAAGACTTTTGGAAAGCTAACTTGATTACCTTTTGAGTAGAATTTTGAATGTATTTGAGTAGTCGACTTCTGGTGGTTGTATTTATTGGGAGAATTGATGTAATTTTGGAAACGTGTGATGTAAGATTTGAATATTTATTTAAGGAAGCGACTTTTCCTTACTTCGACTTTTATTATTGGTTGTTTCTTCTTAAGTTTAAATTTGATTTGTATTGAGTCCTGACGAGAGTTAGGCAGGCGTTCCGCTAATACCTTTGGATTTTTCCTAGAGAGAAATAGGAGCGTCACAATGTCAAGAAAGATTAAACGATCGGACTACTCCAACAAAACCTGGTGAGTGCATTGAGCTTGATAGCCACTCAAATTTCGTAATGGCACTAGACACGGAAACTAGCAAAATCTAGTGGTACAATCAGCTTGGAGGTTACGATGTCTGGTTCGTGGCTTGTGCAAATTTGTCAACCCCTAATAGCCCAATTGGACCAAACCCAGATGCTGAGTTTGGGGAGGCACCATTGATGCTAAGTTTCAAATTTAATGGTATTAAAAGAGATATTGTGGTGGCTGCTCCCTTCCCCTCTCCAATTTCTATATGGTGGCTCTCAATAGGGCAAACCACTCCTAACAACCTATATTTATAGGCTGTAGTATTATAGATGGGAGAGAGTGACCTAATCCTAGTTTCTGAATTGGTTCCTCCCATTAAGGAACCCTACTGAATACAGGCCCTACACCTTATATGCCACATCCAAATAGTTTGATTGAGACGGACCTAGGTCCAAACATTAGTGGATCACGTTACAATGGGCTTTACTGGTCTTATGTAACCCGTTTTGATAAAATAAATAATAAGTTGTAGCCCAAATAAAGAAAATATTTCTAACATTCTCCCACTTAGACAACACTAATTAATTTAAGTTTGAAAAGAAAAAGAAAGAAAACACTAAAAAAAGGGTCAGGCTAAATATTACTATAGTGGCCATTGAAAAAACATATCAGTCCAGAATTCCGTCAAATGAAAGTACTTGTACTAAACTGTAAATGCCTTTATGTTATTTAACAATGTAAGACTTCTACAATTACAAATACTAGTACTTCATCAACATGACTTCCACAATGTGATAAAGTGTAGTGTGGTTTGATTCACATTGATCCAAAAGTAAAGTATACAAGTCAAAACCACAATCAGTCTACTTTATAGTCTTATAAAGACTCTTAACAGGATTTTCATCCCCCTTAATACTTCTAAATTGAAGCCACTTCACAAGGAAGTGTTTCCTGTACAGCTTTCACTTTATACTTGCATGAGCCCAAACATGATACATGAAACTTAACATGTACACAAAATAACTATATGCATACAATCAAGGGATAAAACTTTATTGCCTTTCAAACAATTGTAGTCTTAAACATATAAAACTAAAGAACTCCCAAAACCAAGCACATTGAAGGATGATAAGATGCCCGTATGCTCAACATGCTTGTCAAACTCCACAGGTCTATGTCCTTTGGTTAGTGGATCTGCAAGCATATTACTAGTTGCAATATGCTTATAAAGCACATCACCATTATCAACCCATTCCCTTACCTTAAAGAATTTTAGGTGAACAAACTTCGCACCACTAGGTGAACAAACTTCGCATCTCCTTGTGCCATAAACACCATTCAGGAAGCACTGTATTATGAGAGCAATCCCAACTACTGACATCATATTCCAAGAATTTTGCAGTAATAGATTCAACAGTTCTTGTACCATTACTTGGATAATAAAACCGATAACCTTTAGAGGCCGCTGGATAGCAATGAAAAAATCACCAGTAATTCTGGGATCAACTTTCTTTTCAGAAGGGTTATAGATTCTCACTCCAGTCGAACAACTCAAACATGCAAGTGATTGAGGCAAGGTTTTCTACCAGTCCAAATTTCAAAAGGAGTTTTGGGAGCAGCTTTAGTAGGGACTCTATTTAGGATATACATTGCTGTATAAAGGGTTTCACCCCCAAAGTGATTCGGGCAAATTGGTTCAACTCATCATACACCTCATCATGTTCTTAAGAGTGCAATTTCGATGCTCAGCCACACCATTTTGTTTAGGAGCTTTAGGCATCGTATATTGAACTACTATGCCACATTTTTCTAAATATTTAGCAAAAGGACCTTTAGATTGACCAATGCCTATATGTCTACCATAATATTCACCACCACAGTCAGACCTGACAACTTTAATTAATCTACCCAATTTCCTCTCAACTACAGTTTTTAAATATCTTAAATTTATCAAAAGCTTCTGATTTGCGGTTAATCAAATAATACCCATACCTAGAGTGGTCATCAATAAATGTGACAAAAAAACCTTTACCACACAAGGTAGGTGACAAAGGTCCACTAATATCTGTATGAATTAACTCTAATAGTTCCAAACTACAAGTAGACCCTTGTCTCTTAGACTTTGTTAATTTTCCTCTCATGCAATCAACACAAGTGGTAACATCATTAAAATCCAAATTAGGAAGAATTTCATTCTTGATGAACCTTTCAATTCTTTCTTTTGAAATATGGCCAAGTCTATTGTACCAAAGCATAGAAGATGTTTCTTTAGTCAAAACTTTTTTGGTTCCAACATTTTCAACATTCAATGATAAGTTGTCATAACTCAAATTTAATTTATATAAACCATGCTGTAAAATGCAATCACCAATAAAAGAAGAAATAAAAAATAATCATCATTTAATTGCCAAAAGATCCATGATAACCAGACTTCTCAAGTTTAGAAATTGAAACCAAATTCCGTCTCATGGACGGCACATATGTAGTGTTTTCTAAAATAAGACTACAGCCAGGTGAAAATTTAAAACAATTGTTCCCAAAAATTTTATTGCCAATAGATCCATTTTCCACGTCGACACTGACTTCCCCTTTATTTGGTTTCCACTTATTTTTGAGCCCCTACAAGGAATTAGTAATGTGAATACACATCCCACTATCAAGCCACCAAGAGTTTGGTGGAACATCAACTAATGCAGACTCAAAACAGACAAAAGAATGGGAATTACGGGTCTGTTTGTTTGGGTGAAAAATATTTTTTGAAAAATATTTTTTATTGTTTGGTTGTCAATTAATTTGAAAAAATAATTTCTAAGGAAAATATTTTACTTCAAAAGGATGAAAAATAACTTACCTAGTCCACTTATTAAAGTTATTTTCCTTCAAACTAATCGAGTGTTCCCACAATTTAATGAAACCAATTAGAAAGACCCGGCGATTAACAGGACAGAGAGTCGGAGCGATTCACGATGGGCTTTATCTCTATCTTCGGCGACAAGCAACAACAAAGGCTGTCCGATGTTTCAGGTCAGATTCCAGTGATATGCAAGTCTCTCCATTTTTTTTAATTTTATGGTTAATTTGGTTCTCCAATTTGGGGTTTTAACGATTTCATGTGATAGGATTCAAGAAAATCCAAGGGTTGAGGAGAATCTGATCCAATTTATTGTCATTAACTTGGGAAATTATGTGGAAAAGAGAGGATTGCCTGCTGGAGTAAATTGGGAAGTTGCCTTGTACTTGAAATTGCAGGAGACAGTGCACTGACATGCTTCACAAGGTCATGGAGTCTGTAGTCCCTGTTGACAACAATTGGGTGATGAATGAGTTGTTTGGAACAGGTGAGACTTCCTCTTGATTTCAAGAACTTCGGATTATACTTTCATTTGCACTATCAATTTGAATCTATTTTACCAAGTTGATGTATGAGAGATTCTACTTGGCAGCCTTTTTCCCCCAATTTTGTATATCTTTTGCTTTCATTTAATCTCTAATCCAATTTTCTCATATTTTTGTGAGAGATCTATATAAGATTTTGCAATTTAGAAGTCATGCTTTACTTTGTATCAACTTCACCTAGTCATAAATAATGGCGCACTCAAATTTACCATTGCACAGGAAGCAGTATGAGGCCAATTTTGAGTATCCTGATGTATTTGAATGACTGCTACAGATAGATATAATGGTTTTTTGGTCTGAGTGATGTCAATTCAACGCTTTTTGTTCATTTCATTTTTTAAATTTCTAACAACTAGCCATAGTTCACAGAGATTGAGGAATGACTCAAATAAGAAAGGTAAAATCTTTCTTCATATAATTGTACAAAGTCGTCGTTGTCTTATTACATGATGTGTACAGTTCCAAGAGTAGGAGTTCGTACTATGAGTTGGATCATGTCATTAACAATTAGCATCTAATGGCCAAGCTTCCTATAGTTCTGCTGTCCATCCATGTATAACAGAGAAATGTTAGGCTTATTTAATTCGTTTTAATACAGTAATCAACAAGTCATATATCATCCACAAGGCATCTAGCAGCATAATGATAAAAATGATGCAAATTGGATGATGAGAAGCAGATGAGTATTGTAATTTATATGCAACAGTTGTTGTACATCATCCTGGCTTTTCATTTGCATGGAATTTTGAGGTGACTCTTAGGAAACTGAATTTACAATTACTGTTGGTATATATCTGTGACTTAGAACTTCTAATGCAGTTTTTGCTCTAAGTTTTAGTGGTTAGTTTTAAAAAGGAGTTCATTCTAGGCAAGCAACTAAAGGACTTAATATGGACACTTCCATTCATCGTATCTTTGTTAAGGGATCTGAAATGCTGCAGATTATACTTTTTGCTTCCAATGTGAAAATTTAATATAGATTTTTAATATATGAGATTCTTTTGACAAAAAAAGATGTTGTATGTAATCTAGTAAGAGCAACTCTAATGGTTTTCATGCTTATTGGATTATCTAATTCAGGGATCTACTGGAGGTCATGTCATGGTAACATTATGATGTCATTTGATATTTTAGTTGATTGGTATTTGACAATAACTTTCCTTACTATAGTTTGTTAGAGCAACTCTAAAGTCTAGATACACTAGAAGGGAGCAGCTAAAATAGTTTTAGACTCATGTACTAGGTACAGATGAGCTTCCTTACATGTTTGGCTGCTTGCATTCCATAGGTTAGAATAAGGACAGATGAGCTTGCGTTCATTAGTGGAAAACTGCTTAAGCAGAAACTATGACACAGTTGGAAGCTATTGGAGTCAAGAGATTACAGGTAAGTTACTTTACCTTAACAGGTGATGAAAGTCATTTTTCTTTTACTTTTGTTAAAGGGTATTGATTTCAACAAGACAGCAGGGAAAACAGGGCAACCATACGACTACCTCTCTGATGGCAAATGTAGCAAGCGGGACGGAAGATTATCTAATACGGAGGAGGAATATCTTTGATCCTACAAAGAAACTGAATGACATAAAAATAGATATGACTTATCTGGAATGGTACAAGAAGGTGTCAATTGAGCAGGGAGGATACTATGATAGTTACAAACTTTGGCGTTGGAAAAGTCGGGATGAAATCAAAAGCAGACATGAAATCATGAAGCGCAAGAGAATTCTCACTCGATACTGGAGAGGCATAGTTGATGAAGTAGAGCAAATGCCTCAAAAAGAAGGGGTGGCTTTTCAGACTCGTTGGCTTTATGCAGGAACCAATTACCAAAGAATGGTTGAACCACTTGAAAATAGATAGACAATAGATGGTTTGGGTTGGAGAAGTTATTGAGCGGAAAAATCAGGAAAGTAGAGGTTTTGATTAGTTATTTTTTCTTAAAAAAGGAAGGAAAGGGTGTTGGGGAATGAATACAACAGAATCCTGCTATTAGCTGGCAATCTTAAAAATAGAAGCCGGGTCCACTCTTTATTCAATTTTTGATTATTTTCATATAATAATAATACAATAGGGATATTCTTTTCTAGAGAAGTTTTGAGTAGTGAGGATGCAAGATGTATATCGCAATGGCATGGCATGTGATTGACAATGGATCACAAGCAATTTATTTATTGCATAAGGAAAAATTTTTATTCATATATATAATTTCCTAAGATTTTTTTTATTAAACCTAAACAATGGAATGAATTTTTCAATTCTCTATAAGAAGGAATATGTGGTTAGAATTTGTAAAGTAAAGGTAGAGGTAAGAAAGACAATATTCCAAAGTTGGAAAATATTTTCAAATGTTAAACAAACACCAGAAAAAGAAGTTAGGAAATATTTTCAATAGGCTAACCAAACACCTGAAAATGATGAAAAAGAAATGATTTTCCTGGGAAAGCACTTCCATGAAAAATATTTTCCCAAGGAAAACATTTTACTTCCAACCAAACCGACCCTACCTGTCTTATATTTGTTCTCCAGCCATTTTTGAAATTTGGCACATTGTTTCTTCCTATGACCTTGATCACCACAAAACCAGCAGCCATTATTTTTCTTAATGTCAGGTTTAAGAAACCCAGGATTACCATGCTTACCTTTTCCCTGATTTTTCTTCCTGAACTTAATTTTCTTGTGTTGGCAGTGAGAAGATTTGTTATTGTCTTCTTTGTTCACATGTAGCTAATGCACCAAATTCACTCTCTTATTCTGCTCCCTTTTGATTTTCTTCTTCTCTTAAACACGAACCCCAACTAGACTTCTTTATCACCTGCATGCTTAATCTGTTAGCTCCATGCTATTTTTGATAATAATAAGCCGTTTGTTCAGTAGTGCTATTATCGGTGGTTTTAGGGGAATCAGCTCCAATCAGGGCTATGTCAATGTCAACAAATGCAAGACCTAACTCAACGTCACTTTTCAATTGCTTATAATTATTTCCAGTCAAAGTCTCAATAGAGCAAATCTAATTGTTCACAGGAATATTGCAAACTATAGAATAATTATATCAAAAAAATATAATTAGACAATAGCAATAATAAAAGCAAACAATCAATGGCAATTTACATGAAAATTTATGATGTATTACTAGGTAATCACCTTCGAGTAGAATACTAGAATACACTTAAACTTTCACACAAGTATATAGTGAGACAACTTTACAAGAATTTATCCACTTTGGGCAGACAAACCCTTATAAGGCTATAAATTAATCCCTCACTAATACTTAACCCTTCTAAAATCAAATATACACAATTACCCCCTTCGGGATTACAGATCCTCAAATACCAAGGGGATTACACAACTTAATATATTCATACGGTGGAGAACCGTATAGAGAATCATTAGATCGTTACTTGATACTGATGCAACAATGAATTTTAATTCAAACATAATCCATAGAAAAGTTCAAAGGCTACAATATCCTTGAACTTTAGCAATCCAAACCTTAATATTGTGGCTCTGATACCACTTGTTGGGATTACATATCCTCAAATACCAAGGATTTTTTTTTTTTTTTTCAAACGATAACACTTTCATTAGACAAATCAAAAGTTACAAAACAGGAGCATGTGCTCCTACATCTTTACTAGCTAAACTACGTAGCCAGTCAGGAAATGATTCCTGCCACACCTTCTCATCTACCACTCGTAAGGCATATTTAGCCAAATGTTGAGCTACAGAGTTCACTCCCCTTCTGACAAAGGAGAAGGAACATTCAATGAAGTCCATTCTGAGCTTTAAAATATCAAACAGAATGACTCCCACACTTAGATCTTCTGCACTCTTTACGTTAAGTTTGTCAATTATTGCTTTGCAATCCGACTGTAGCACAATCTTCCCCCAACCCTTCTGCTTTGCAATGATCAAGGCCTTCCTGACTGCCATAGCCTCTTCCACAGCCGGATCCCCAATTCTATTTTCACTCCCTGCCCAGGCCCCCACCAAGGCACCATCATCGTTCCTTGCCACTATCCCCCATCCAACTTTCCTCTCTTGCATGTGCAAACTAGCATCAGTATTCATACAAATAAAACCATTGGGAGGAGGAGTCCATTTGCCACCTACCATAGCTGTACCATCTCCAGTTCCTTTGCTCATATTAGCTTCAGAACTAATATTCCTGTACTCCAACCATTCTTGCACTGCTTTATTTACAGTCTGACCCGCACTGTTACTTGAATACGAAAAATAAACATAAACATAAACATAAACATAAACATAAACACGCACTGTTACTTGTAGCCATTGAATCTTGACAAGATTGAGAAGAAGACACAGATCCACTCAATGAATCCATGCGATGCGTTAAGGTTCACGTATCTGGGTTAGGTGCTCCCTCTCTCTTTATAATTTCTGTAGGGTAAATTCCACTTTACCCCCCTGTGGTTTAGCATTTTTTCACATAACCCCCCTATAGTTTCAAAAGCTATACATAACCCCCTCATGGTTTGGATTAAAGTGTCAAAATAACAGAAATAGTCACTCGTAACGGAACTTCTAAAAATGTCGAAATTACCCTTATAAATATATGACACATTAACCCCCTATGATTTTTATATTTTACCATATAACCCCCTTATGGTTTAATACTTTACCATATAACCCCCTTATGATTTTCAAAATATACACATAACCCCCCTTGGTTAATACATAAATTTCAACCTTACATAAGGGTATTTTTGACATTTTAGGTGACGCCGTTACGAGTGATCATTTCCGTTACTTTGACACTTTAATCCAAACCATGAGGGGGTTATGTATAGCTTTTGAAACCACAGGGGGGTTATGTGAAAAAACGCTAAACCACTGGGGGATAAAGTGGAGTTTGCCCAATTTCTGTATGGTGGCTCTCAATGGGGAAACCACTCCTAACAGCCTATATTTATTGGCTATAGTAGTATAGATAGGAAAGAGAGACCTAGCCCTATTTTCTAAACTAGGTCCTTCCATTAAGAAATCCTACTAAATACAGGGTTTACATCATATATAATATACCACATCCGGATAGTTTGATTGAGATAGACCTAGATCCAAACACTAGTGGATCACATTACAATGGGCTTTGTGAGTCTTATTTAACCAGTTTTGATAAAAATGAATAATTAGTAGCACCCCAAATAAAGAAAATAAAATATTTCTAACACTATCATCATTCTATTTGCATATTATTTTAGTATTGTTATCATTCCAGTGGATGGGTGGCTGGATGATGTAGGACAGGAGGCCGGTCCTGGAGGTCTCAATGGGGCAGGTACTTGAGGAGCAGCAACAGATACAAAGAAGATCTACAAAAACACTATCAATAGCAACAAATTGAACTTCGCTCTTCTGTCATCGCAGAAAGTCAAGAATGGTGGAGGCCATGTGGCGAATGGTTCGCCGTACCGCCGCATACCGATTTCACTCAGCTGAGTTATAATCGGAACAAGAGAGGGCGATAGGATACTAACACCCGAATCATCAATCAACCTGTAGCAGATCCAACTCATCGAGACTCCGCCGACATTTGCCAAATCGACTTAGCGAAATGAGAAATCGCAGCGAGACGGGCTATACTATACGAGTTAATTCCGGAAATGAATCATGGGTTAAGATTATCAATCATCCCACATTGAAGGGAACTCATCAGCACAAGGAATAAATTAAAACAAGCACAATGAAACCAATTTGTTTGAATGCATTCAAAATCATATCTCTTTCACCAGGCTTCAATATGTTAAGGGATAATTTCAGAAACCCCTGAAGTTTCTGACTATTAGAATTTGTTGTTTATCATTAGAGATTAAATCACATATGGTATCAAAAATAGTATATCATTCTATATATTTTATTTAATATAAGATATAAATTACTCTTTTTAATTACAAACTCATCGTTAAATATGATCAATAACAAATAATCAAAAAAATCTATAATCAAAATATTACAAAGAGTGAATTTTATACCATAAAAATCTTAGCAACTAATCTTAATATGTTGACAAAAACATTCTCTGTAATATTTTGGTTGCAAATTTTTTGATTATTTGGTGTTGATCATGTTTGATAATGGGGATATAATTGAAAAGAGTACTTTAGATCTTGTATTAAATGAAAAATATAACATGATATACTATTTTTTGATACTATCTGTGATTTGATCCCTAATAATAAATAACAAGTTTTAGTCTTTTTCTTTAATATGTTGGTTGATATTAAATTAATTAAATAATGTAGTAGATGAGGGACAATAATGGAATTATATTATTGTCTCTCTCCTAATATTACTTTTTAATTATCAATTGAATCTAAATGTTATAAAATAATTAACCTCAGGAAAGGTTAGTATAATTTTTAAAACCTAGAGGAGCTCAGTGAAATAGTCAAAAACCTCAGGCGAGGTTTCTGAAATTATCCCATTTGTTAACGATGTAAATTGCAAATCAGAAGCTCGATTTATAGAGGCTGTGATTTTCTTGGACGAAGAGAAAGCTCATCATTTCTATTTTTTTGGTTTCAGTTACAGAGGAAAGTGGGTGGAGACCGTGGAGTGGGGAAGCTAAAGAACAGCGAAAGCTGCCACAGAGAAAGTGATTTCCTTTTTCTTTTTTGGTTACAGTGTGTTTCATTTTGTTCTAAGGCTGATTTGTTCAGCCTAAGAGAGAGAGAGAGAGAACAGAAAAAAAGGGAAAAAAAAAGAAAAAAAAATAAGCTTGTCAGGACCCAAATGAGACTTGGCCCAACAATTGGTTGTAACATTATCCTTTGCAAGAGCTTGTTCGCCCCCAGACTTTTGGACAGTTTATCATCAATATCAGGCATAAAATGTACTTAAGCAAAGTCCATTCAAGGTTCAAGTATTGTTTTCAGTGATGTGCTAATAGTATCACTTAATTTAAATAATTATTAACTAGTTCTATTAATATAGGTATTTAGCAAATTTAATTTGATAATTGTGCTTGTTATGGCATTTTCTATTTTTAATAATTTTTTCAAAAATTTTAGATACTTTTATATACTAAAATATGTGTAACAGTCGATTGGCAACCGATATGTCGTCGTTCTTGCTTAACCTACGGAATGATGTTCCATTTTCTTTCCGTGTGTTCCCAGCCATGCATCCTCTGCTGAAGGGATGTTCACTGCTCACTATGCACTTCAGCCTTTTCTCT